AGGAATTCGCTGAGACTGCACCGGCGGTTGGGCTCAGGGTCGAAAGGTTGAGGGTTGTGATTGTTTTAACACGACTTGTCCAATGTCAGGAATGCCTACAGTAAGGATCGTAGTATGTAGGCTTGCATTAGGATCCCTTCTTTTCTCAAATTGATGCATAAACACCTCGACTCAAGTCCAACAGTGTTAGCTTTGGTGTGCTAGCTGCTAGGGTCTGGGATTCGGCGTTTGAACGTTTCAAGACGTTGAGGTTTACGGACTTGGCGCTGCTAGATGTATGAGGTCTGCTACCCTATGGCCCGAAACTCTGAATCCAAGATCCTTCGACCCTAAAGCCATAAACCCTAAACCCTGAAGTCCGAAACTTCTAAACCCGAAACCCTAAACCCATAAGGGGCACATCTTGCACTTTAACAACAAAACAAGCACCCAAGCCCGAGACTTCTAGAATATTTTGAGGCAACTTCCTCGAGGGCGTGATGGCATCCATGCCAGGCTCCAGAGTTGTTGTTTTGAGTTTCGGGCTCCTGTCGGCGTACAGCCCCTGAAGGTTTAGGGTTTAGGAGTTTAGGGGTTAGGGTATAGGGTTTAAGGATTAGGGTTTAGGGCTTAGGGTATAGGGCCCCAACATCCCTTCAGGGTTTCGGGTTTAGGGTGAGAGATTCCATCATCCTTCACGGAAGCTTCCGTAAGTTACAGTAAGGATGATACATATGGGTGGTTGTCAAAATTAGGGTCCCTTTTTGGGTACCCTAAATATTAGGTGCCGTATTATAATAAGGACCCAAAAAGGGACCATAATTTTGACAACCACCCATATGGGAAGCTTGACCAAGTCTGTGGGGGGTGTCAGCCCGTGTCGAGGCGCTTCGGGTTCGGCAAGTCTTAGCAGACCGGAGTGGAGCCCGCGATCAAGAGAGCGTCGTGTGTGTTTTGGGATGGCGGCAGTCTGGCTGTGGTTTGTTTGCATGCTAAGTGTCAATAGTGGTCCAGGGAGTGAAACTCTCTGAGTTTCGTCGGCATCTAGCTTGCGAGAGGGTCAGGTTCGTGTTTTTGCGAGTTTGTGTCTTGTTTCACAAAACATGAAGGAACACAGCAGTTCGAAGATGGATAAATCTCAAGTTACGGTCCCACTTGGCTCCTCAGAAGTGTGCGTCCCTCGCCCAAAACGGGACCCTAATTTATACAAACCCCCACATACAAGCGATGAAGAAGCATACAGTGACGGAATTAACGGTCCAGTGGACTAACTCGTCGCGACGGGAGTAAGCCAATAATACAGCAGCCTGAAAGTAATCGTATCCCCATGCATGCCTCATATACGTATAGATTATGGTGTGATATACCACCGAAACCCTATTACAATAATTAAGACCGCCGTAGATGTACACGCACGCGAGCTTCGTGGGTTTCTATTGAGGAACTTAGCTCAAGCCACCATCATGACATGATACAGTCTTAGGAAGATGGTTTTGTGATCATGGTAGCTGGAAACTTAAATCAAGTCCCGCACCAGAAGTCCGCTCTTCATCTGCCAAAGCTCGGCAGGTTCTGAGATCACGCCCCAGTCCGTTGCCAAAGCGCAGTCCTGATCTCTCTGGCTTACGTGTCTCGAAGGAGTCGGCACTCTGACGCTCATCTGTTCGATTAGGGTTTAGGATTAAAGCCTTTAAAGCTTTCTAAGTAGCCTGATCATGTGATTACATAGCTTGGACGCCCCCCGCAAGCTCAAGAAAAAGTCTCGAGGAATGCATCCAGAGCCACTCCCACCATACACGGGGACATGGGTGCCCGAGTCCCTTTTTACCAGCCATGATAGTCATCCTATGGAACAGACATATATAGGGGCCTAAATAATTACCAATACTATTTTGGTGGCTCCTTATTATAATTGTAGTATAATGGGCCCCAAAACCCTATTCTAGTTATTAAGGCCCCTAGACTTGGGAGGACAGCACCACAGCAAAATATCTCCCCATAGTCTGTGACGACTAGAGACCCCAATCCCCAACACTCTTCAAAAGGGTAGACTGGCTGTGGCTGCGGTTTAGGGTTTAGGGTTTAAAGTTTAGGGTTTAGGCTGTGGCTGCCTTAGACCCTTTCGATCCCATAATCAACCGGATAGCTTAGAGCAACTTCCTTCATAGACAATACCTGCAACCGAAAAGACCTACCTTTCTAGGGTTCCTTATTAGGGTTCATAGATATGGTTCCTTAAAAGAGGTAGGTCTTGTCGGTTACAGGTAGAAGCTGATGAGTTCGCGTCTCCTCCGTCCAAGTGCAAAGCGTCCACTCAGCTTGGCCGGCGGCCTTTCTGCTCTGAAGAGGCTCGTCTATAGAAACATAGTATAAGGGTTTAGGGTTTAGGGTTAAGGACTTACCTTTACCATTTTCGTTTTTTTGGGGGGTCCCTTATTATAAGTATAGTAGAATGGGACCCAAAACCATATTGCAACTATTAAGGCCCCTATATTATAGAAACATACGTCTTGAGCCCTTAACCCGCAAATCCATCCTAATGCTCGTACATTGACCCCCTAAATTGACCTCGAACCTTGCCCTAAACCCTCGACTTCCGATTACTGTTCGCAGAGGGCCGCCGTCCCTTTTTTAACAAGCTCCATGTCTGAGCTGCAGCGGAAGCTGCTGCGTGAGTTCTCAGAGCTTGTGAGGTGGTGGGGAATTTTGCATCAGGCATCGTTTCAGGTTTCAGGGTTTCGGGTTTAGGATAGGTTAGGCCTTGTTAAGCAAACCCTACTGTTGAACATATTAGTAGGATCCCCATGTGGAGCGATTAAAGGACGGCATGTTTCATCCTAGGGCACGGAGCTTAGGGTTTGGATGTACGGGAGGATTCCGGATGTCAAAGTTCCAGGTTTCAGCACCCTTCAGGTGCCACCTTGGAGGCGCAATGGCTTCGGGCTGCTTTGGTTTGGTTTTAGGCGCCCTTTGAATAAAAGCGCGTGTCCTCCTCACAGGGAGGGATATTGGACTTGGGGCCCGTAAACCCTGAACCCTAAACCCCAAACCCTGAAGCCTAAACCCCAAACCCTAAGCCCTAAACCCTAAACCCCAAACCCTAAACCCTAAACCCTAAACCCTGACCAAAAACACAAAGAGCCTAAAGCCGCTGAAACCCAAAACCCTTCTTGCAACACGGAAACTTGTAAAGCCCTCTTCTGTAGGGGCCTTAATAATTACCTAGACTATTTTGGGGTTTAGGGTCTCGGGTTTGGGGATAGAGGGCCCTTCATAATTACCTGGACTATTCTGGGGTTTCCTTGTTATATTTATCATAGACGTGGTAGAAATACCCCAAAACCCTATTCTAATGCGTAAGGCCCTTACATGAAGGCCTCCTCCACGACCAGAAGCCCTTTTGAACCTTTCAAAGGCGGAAGGCTGTTTAGTCCAGGAGCCTGAAGAATTAGGAAGACCATTCCGCTAGGGCCCCAAAACCCTAAACCCTAAACCCTTATTATGACTCTCGTCAAATATACCCCGGAAACCCTCGTTGAGCTTCTAAGGCCCCTTAACCAAACACACACAGCCACCCTGACAGAGCCCTTTCGAGAAAATGAACCCCTTTTTAGGTTTAGGGGTAAGGGACCCTGACCATCTTGTTGCTAAGGCCCCCCAAAACTAGACCCTAAACCCCAAAAGCCCTTTGAAGGAACCCTACTCTACTTACAAACGTGAAACCCCAAGCCCAATTCAACAACCCCTTAGAAGTACTAGCGCCCGTATATGATCTGCTGCGGAAGTTGGCTCGGGGTTCCAGGCTTAACGATGTAGGACCGGCAGTTCGTACAGAGCCAACTCGACAGAAACCCGTGCAGGAATTGATACTGATAGCCAGACCAATTGCAGTAAAGATAGAAACAGTAATGGTCATGATGAAGATATGAAGAGAATAAGAAGCTTAGCACTAAGAGCAGTAGTTAATGATGATCATAATCTCGGTAGCAACATTGAAAATTTAAGAAGGAAGAGAACAGGTTCCCTACATTAAAGCAACATATTTTTGTCGGGATCCGACAATCTCACCACTCTTTGCTCAAAGCTACAAGCCAAATCTTGGCTTCTGAGAAGCCAGAAGTGTGTAAGAGCAGCAAAAGAGAGATGGAGCATGCGACGGACCAAATTGGGGAGCATCTTACCTGGCAACGGCTGGGAAAGGAAGATTTTGTAGTTGCACCCAAGATTTCTGGATGAGATTCTAGGAGGAAATTTTGGATCAGAGCATACGAAGCTGGGCTTCTTTAGGCTTAGTGTCATGTAACCGAAGCACAGCTAGTCCGTGAGAGGGATGTGGCTGAGCCCAAGGGTGGTCCAACCGAGCAAGGCTGGAAACGATACATGCAATGGACCACCTTGACCATTTGCCGGCTGCCCACATGTCCTATAAACCTCATTTCCAACAGACCGCGCCCTCTGTATATTGGACCTGTAGGTTGCAACAGGGCCGTAACAATCCTGATGTATTATATGCTCTATATATATATATACTATATATATATATATACTCTCTCTATATATATATATATATATATACTATATTATTGTCGTATCAAAGCATGAAAGAGAGCAACCTCACATGCCCAGGTGAGCACCAGCCAACTCTGCCTTGATCCCCCGGCCACTAAAAGCCCTGAGGCCCCCGAGCTCAGCTCTCCAGACCTTAGGGTTTAGGGTTTAGGGGTTTAGGGTTTAGGGTTTAGGGGTTTAGGGTTTAGGGTTTAGGGGTTTAGGGTTTAGGGTTTAGGCTCAAGACCTTAGACGAAGAAAGAAGCAAAATCCCAAGAATAGGATTCTGCAATGTAGAGGCCTGAATAGTTACCTATCCTATTTTGGGGGCTTCTTCTTATTGTTGTAGTATGATAGACACCAGAATATTACAACTCCGCGGCCCTCCGGACCATGATCGTTGAACCCGGAGTCCTACACCCGACCCCTTTAGAAACAAGAGCTCCCACGTGTAACTGAAACCTTCCGGCCAGCTGTCGGGCGACTGGCAGCCAGACGAAGAGCCTCGAAAGCTACAAGGCAAGGCACCCTAAACCCTAAACCCAGGGCGTTTGAGCGGCTTCCAATGGGGGTGCAGGGTTTAAGGTTTAGGGGTTTAGGGTTTCGGGATTAAGGGTCTAGGGTTGAATAAAGAAGCCTAAATAGTTACCTAAGCTATTTTTGGTGCTTCCTTACTATAAATCTACTATACAGGAGCCCCAAACCCTGGTCTAATTACTAAGGCTTCTACATTAAGTCTAAAAATTCTATATGAAGTCTAAGGTTTAGGGGTTTAGGGTTTCGGGGTTAAGGGTTTTAGGGTTTAGGGTTTGAGTCTAAAAATTGGCCCCTTTGTTGTCTGAAGCCCAAAGGGACCCGAAGCACAGAGAATCCTGAGCCCCCAACCGCGAGAAGCTCAAGAGGTACCCTGTTTGATCCTTCAGAGTCCTAGTTTTGGGCTTCAGGTTGTATTGGGGTTTAGAAACTTTAGAGATTCGCCAACCCCCCCGAAATCCCAGAAGTTTCAGGGCATCGCAGAGGCCTTCGAATTTCTCTTTCTCTGGTGTAGGGTTTAGAGTTTTAGAGTGCGGGCAGCTGCGCCAGGTACTGATGACGAGGAACTGCAGGCACCAAGCTGCAGGGATTTTGCCGCCAGATGGTTGTGACAGAGGCGTCTGAGTGATTGCTAATAGTCCCCTCCCCCCGCCCGCTCACAGTCCCCTCACAGTTCCTGTTTACAAAACGGGTCTAGAAAACATGCCCCAAACCCCGATTCAATTAGAGGGCATCTTACGGTTTTTTGGGTTTCAGGGCTTTGAGGTTCCACTCAGTGAGAAAAGGAAAAAGTTCAAGTCGAGGGGATGCGTACGATCCGATGTTCTCAAGTTTTGCTACAGCCAGGTCTCCCAGCCCTGTCCTCAGTATCGCAGTCGCTTGCCGCAGCATTGCTCTTGTCCGATTCAGCAAGCTTTCCTCGGTCCTCTTGGCCGCAATCCTGGTTGTCCGACCTTCCAAAAACAAAGGCAACACGAATGTAGAAAAGCCGCCACATCAGGCAGTGTAGCTGGGGCTCCCCCAGTATCTCAGGCTACGCTTTCGCCGTGCCCCCGGACACCTTACAAGGGTTCAGGGCATTAGCTGCAAAATTGTGTAGCTTGAGATTGGGGGCTTGGGACATTACGGTCTTCATGATTTGCTGGCCTTGTGTAAGCTTGTGCGGATGAGAGCCTGTGCAGCACGTTATAAAGAAGTTGTGGAGCCTGTCGCAACTTCGGAAAGAAAGTTAGATCAACAGTAGCTACTGATCATGGAGGTGAAAGTAGATGTAGGGTGGGAGTAGATGTATCAGTAGCAGCAAGGGCAGCAGTAGCAGTAGCACTTTCTGGTGGTGGTGGAGATGGTGGTAGTAGTAGTCGCGGTCCGTCGTCGCCGTAGTAGTAGTAGTAGTAGTAGTAGTAGTAGTAGTAGTAGAGTAGTAGAGTAGTAGAGTAGTAGAGTAGTAGAGTAGTAGAGTAGTAGAGTAGTAGAGTAGTAGAGTAGTAGTAGTAGTAGTAGTCGTCGTCGTCGTCGTCGTCGTAGTAATAGTAGTA